CTTAGTGACGAGCTTTGAGGGCACTATGGTGTTGAACGCTGAGCTGTAGTCAATTAATAGTATTCTCACGTACAGTGAGGGAAAAAAGTATTTGATCCCCTGCTGATTTTGTATGTTTGCCCACTGACAAAGACATGATCAGTCTATAATTTTAATGGTAGGATTATTTGAACAGTGAGAGACAGAATAACAACAAAAAAATCCAGAAAAACTCATGTCAAAAATGTTATAAATTGATTTGCATTTTAATGAGGGAAATAAGTATTTGACCCCTCTGCAAAACATGACTTAGTACTTGGTGGCAATACCCTTGTTGGCAATCACAGAGGTCAGACGTTTCTTGTAGTTGGCCACCAGGTTTGCACACATCTCAGGAGGGATTTTGTCCCACTCTTTGCAGATCTTCTCCAAGTCATTAAGGTTTCGAGGCTGACATTTGGCAACTCGAACCATCAGCTCCCTCCACAGATTTTCTATGGGATTAAGGTCTGGAGACTGGCTAGGCCACTCCAGGACCTTAATGTGCTTCTTCTTGAGCCACTCCTTTGTTGCCTTGGCCGTGTGTTTTGGGTCATTGTCATGCTGGAATACCCATCCACGACCCATTTTCAATGCCCTGGCTGAGGGAAGGAGGTTCTCACCCAAGATTTGACGGTACATGGCCCCATCCATCGTCCCTTTGATGCGGTGAAGTTGTCTTGTCCCCTTAGCAGAAAAACACCCCCAAAGCATAATGTTTCCACCTCCATGTTTGACGGTGGGGATGGTGTTCTTGGGGTCATAGGCAGCATTCCTCCTCCTCCAAGCACGGCGAGTTGAATTGATGCCAAAGAGCTTGATTTTGGTCTCAGCTGACCACAACACTTTCACCCAGTTCTCCTCTGAATCATTCAGATGTTCATTGGCAAACTTCAGACAGGCATGTATATGTGCTTTCTTGAGCAGGGGGACCTTGCGGGCGCTGCAGGATTTCAGTCCTTCACGGCGTAGTGTGTTACCAATTGTTTTCTTGGTGACTATGGTCCCAGCAGCCTTGAGATCATTGACAAGATCCTCCCGTGTAGTTCTGGGCTGATTCCTTACCGTTCTCATGATCATTGAGATTGACAGTTCTTTTGTGTTTCTTCCATTTGCGAATAATCGCACCAACTGTTGTCACCTTCTCACCAAGCTGCTTGGCGATGGTCTTGTAGCCCATTCCAGCCTTGTGTAGGTCTACAATCTTGTCCCTGACATCCTTGGAGAGCTCTTTGGTCTTGGCTATGGTGGAAAGTTTGGAATCTGATTGATTGATTGCTTCTGTGGACAGGTGTCTTTTATACAGATAACAAGCTGAGATTAGGAGCACTCCCTTTAAGAGTGTGCTCCTAATCTCAGCTCGTTACCTGTATAAAAGACACCTGGGAGCCAGAAATCTTTTTGATTGAGAGGGGGTCAAATACTTACAGTGGGGAAAAAAAGTATTTAGTCAGCCACCAATTGTGCAAGTTCTCCCACTTAAAAAGATGAGAGAGGCTTGTAATTTTCATCATAGGTACACGTCAACTATGACAGACAAAATGATTTTAAAAAATCCAGAAAATCACATTGTAGGATTTTTAATGAATTTATTTGCAAATTATGGTGGAAAATAAGTATTTGGTCAATAACAAAAGTTTCTCAATACTTTGTTATATACCATTTGTTGGCAATGACACAGGTCAAACGTTTTCTGTAAGTCTTCACAAGGTTTTGACACACTGTTGCTGGTATTTTGGCCCATTCCTCCATGCAGATCTCCTCTAGAGCAGTGATGTTTTGAGGCTGTCGCTGGGCAACACGGACTTTCAACTCCCTCCAAAGATTTTCTATGGGGTTGAGATCTGGAGACTGGCTAGGCCACTCCAGGACCTTGCCTTGAAATAATTCTTACGAAGCCACTCCTTCGTTGCCCGGGCGGTGTGTTTGGGATCATTGTCATGCTGAAAGACCCAGCCACGTTTCATCTTCAATGCCCTTGCTGATGGAAGGAGGTTTTCACTCAAAATCTCATGATACATGGCCCCATTCATTCTTTCCTTTACACGGATCAGTCGTCCTGGTCCCTTTGCAGAAAAACAGCCCCAAAGCATGATGTTTCCACCCCCATGCTTCACAGTAGGTATGGTGTTCTTTGGATGCAACTCAGCATTCTTTGTCCTCCAAACACGACGAGTTGAGTTTTTACCAAAAAGTTATATTTTGGTTTCATCTGACCATATGACATTCTCCCAATCCTCTTCTGGATCATCCAAATGCACTCTAGCAAACTTCAGACGGGCCTGGACATGTACTGGCTTAAGCAGGGGGACACGTCTTGCACTGCAGGATTTGAGTCCCTGGCGGCGTAGTGTGTTACTGATGGTAGGCTTTGTTACTTTGGTCCCAGCTCTCTGCAGGTCATTCACTAGGTCCCCCTGTGTGGTTCTGGGATTTTTGTTCACCGTTCTTGTGATCATTTTGACCCCATGGGGTGAGATTTTGCGTGGAGCCCCAGATCGAGGGAGATTATCAGTGGACTTGTATGTCTTCCATTTCCTAATAATTGCTCCCAGAGTTGATTTCTTCAAACCAAGCTGCTTACCTATTGCAGATTCAGTCTTCCCAGCCTGGTGCAGGTCTACAATTTTGTTTCTGGTGTCCTTTGACAGCTCTTTGGTCTTGGCCATAGTGGAGTTTGGAGTGTGACTGTTTGAGGTTGTGGACAGGTGTCTTTTATACTGATAACAAGTTCAAACAGGTGCCATTAATACAGGTAACGAGTGGAGGACAGAGGAGCCTCTTAAAGAAAAGTTACAGGTCTGTGAGAGCCAGAAATCTTCCTTGTTTGTAGGTGACCAAATACTTATTTTCCACCATAATTTGCAAATAAATTCATAAAAAATCCTACAATGTGATTTTCTGGAAAAAATGTTCTCAATTTGTCAATCATAGTTGATGTGTCCCTATGATGAAAATTACAGGCCTCTCTCATCATTTTAAGTGGGAGAACTTGCACAATTGGTGGCTGACTAAATACTTTTTTCCCCCACTGTATTTCCCTCATTAAAATGCAAATCAATTTATAACATTTTTGACATGCGTTTTTCTGGATTTTTTGTTGTTATTCTGTCTCTCACTGTTCAAATAAACCTACCATTAAAATTATAGACTGATCATGTCTGTCAGTGGGCAAACGTACAAAATCAGCAGGGGATCAACTACTTTTTTCCCTCACTGTAGGTGTTCCTCTTGTCCAGGTGTGAAATGGCAGTGTGTAGTGCAATAGAGATAGCATCATCTGTGGATCTTTTGGGGCAGTATGCAAATTGGTGTGGGTCTACGGTTTCTGGGATAATGGTGTTGATGTGAGCCATGACCAGCCGTTCAAAGCACTTCATGGCTACAGACGTGAGTGCTACGGGTCGGTAGTCATTTACGTTTTAGTCATTTAGCAGACGCTCTTATCCAGAGCGACTTACAGTTTAGTGAGTGCCAAAAAAATTCATACTGGCCCCCCGTGGGAATCGAACCCACAACCCTGGTGTTGCAAGCGCCATGCTCTACCAACTGAGCTAGGAACAGGCAGGAACCAAGGATTATTTATGACATTAAGACAAGATGAACATTTTCAAGGCTGTCTCTTCACATGATAACATTTTCCATCACAACGGCATTGACAATAACCTAAGAAAATTATCTCGGGAGGTAATTCCGTCAAACATTTGATGATGAGGTATTCCAGATCAGGAGAACAAAATGACTTGAGTTCCTGTTACCACAATCACACCATGAATTGTTAATCATGAGACATACCCCTCCACCTTTGTTTTTCCCGGAGAGTTCTTTCTTCCTGTCCGCGCGATTAACTGAGAACCCAGCTGGCTGTATGGACAGGGACAATATATATGCGGAGAGAGCCATGATTCCGTAAAAAAATAGTATGTTACAGAGTATGTTACAATCTGCAAGGAGATCCTCGCCCTGAGCTTGTCTACTTTGTTGTCCAGGGACTGAACGTTAGCGAGTAATATACTCGGAAGCGGTGGATGGTTTGCTCACCACCTGAACCTGACTAGGCCCCCCACTTCTCCTCCCTCTTCTCCGGCGTCAGCGTTTTGGTGTAGCACCTGAGATGAATTGGGCTGCCTCAGGGGAGTCCAAACAAAGGATCCAAGTCAGGGAAATCTAATTTCTGGTGAGTGACCCCCGATCTAATGTCCAAAAGGTAATTTTCGGCAGTAGGTAATAATACTAGAAACGTTCTGAGCAAATAATGTAAGAGAAACACACACAAAAAAAAAAATGAGATACTGCAAAGTTGTATAGGAGCTAGAAACAGGGCGACCGTGTCTGTCGGCGCCATTGGTGTTAATATGGCCAGAATGTATCCCAGAGTCTGGTCTAATGGTAGTGCTGCTGACTACAGACTACATATCCCCCCCTTTGGTGTCTAGACCCTTCATGTCTGTGTGCCCCTTCTAAATGCATCTCCTTCTCTCTCTTCCGACTGTTCTATCTTTAAGCAATAAGGCATGAGAACCCAGGGAATATCGTGAGAATAACCCAGGACTAAGGGCTGTTCTTAGGCACGATGCGAAGCAGAGTACAGTGAAGATTGTAAAAAAAACAAAAAAAACTGCAACATTGTTGCACAGGTCGGAGAGGCAGGCAGCAAGGTTTATTCAAACCCTTACTGTTGCATACCAAATGATATTCTAGAAGCATGGGGAAATAATGTCTAGACACTAGATGGCTGGGCTGTGGGACAATTCAAATGGAACCGTTAAAAGGCATTACTTGGGGATTGTCGTGAATAACTGCCTGCTATCAACCAATCAGGATCCAAATAACTCATTTTATAATAACACTTAGATGGAACTCACATCTAAATAAACAACAACATAAAAATTAGAGGTTGATCAAGCAATGTCCACAGCACTGCAAGACCAATGCCAACGAGATCTGACCCAAATATACACTGTAAGTCTATGCTCTAACCTGATAAGATCTTCTCTATCCAGGAACAGTTTGGCTCTGCGCTGTACGGTGTAGTCAGGGAAAGCCAGCTGGCCAGAGTTGACCAGTAGGATGGTGTGGAGCCGACCCTGACCCCCGTCCGGCCGTCTCCTCCTCCTCCAGCCCGTCTGTTAAGGGAGAAGAGGAGGAGAACCCGAGAGAACACGGCCCTGGGGCCGCGACGCAGATGTACACAGGAACCAGCTAGCTGCTTCGCCCTGGAGAGGAGAGACTATCAGTGTAGGAGTGTTCCTGAGGATCGTTGTGTGGTTAAAGCTGACCTCGGCACGTATTCAATCCCCTGCCTGCGTAGGAACGAATCCCACTCCACCTGTCTCCCATTCACTAATGTCTGTCCCTTTTCAATAAATAAAAAATAAAAGGACAGTAGAAAAATTGGTGGAAAATATTGCTGTGAATCAGTGGCGGTTGGTGTCGTTTTAAGATTAGGGAAGACGATGATTTTTTTATGAGCATGGCCTTACTTCTATTACAGCATATTGGATGACTGTCATTCATATTCCATTCACCCAGCTCAATGTAACATCGATTGGTTTAGGCTACTACATATTCAAATTTTCCCTATACCCATCATCAGGTTGCTACAACCTAGCCTATGAATGAAAGTTAACAACGTAGGTGCACTGGTCGAGATATTTTTTTTTTGTAATCAAGGTGACAGACAGTGACACATTCAATACCGCCTTGCACACTCTTGCCTGCATCTAGCTGATCTAGGTTGTAATCATTAGCCCAACAGTTGCAAACGAGAGTTTCCATTGGACAAATTCAGGTATGTTTATCCCCGTTTCGTTCCGTTTACTTCCGTTTAAGAAAAGTTTTTCAACAGAATCGGCGGAATGAATACACCCCTGATCACACGCAAACACAGTTCACTTTCATAGCAGCCACATACCAACAGCATCATCACTTTGCTCATTGTAATTCCTTCCGCAATCTACGCGCTCTCCTCCTCTCACCTTTTCTCTTCGCTTGTGGACTTCAGTGCACAACACATCAGCTGTCTGTGATCAGGCGAAAAAACGTTTCCAAGCCAAACCTTTATATCATAACTGCTAACCGCTACACACAGCCTACATCATTGTCACCATATTAGCTAGCTAACGTCATAGTTAACATAGCTAATAGAACTAACACATTAGAAAACCCGCTACAATCATGCAGTACCGTGTACAGTCAGCACACAGTTTAGCAGTTACACCAGCGGCCCCAGTGGCAATAAATTAATAAAACCAAAAGCTTACCTTGACTTGGAAGAGTTCCAGTGTTGGATAGCCATAGCCAGCTGGCTAACATAGCATCCCTCTCTGTTTGAGTCAGGTGTTTGAGTAGGCTAAACTAGCTGGCTGCATTCACTAGCTAAGTAAGTGAAAGTTAAAGTGAAAAAAATACTATGAAATATAGCTAGCTCACTCTCTCTCTCTCTCTCGCTTCTCCTTCATTTTTGAAGAAATGTATTTGTTCAAAACTGTTCAACTATTGTCTTTCTCTCTCTTTGAGTCAACTACTCACCACATTTTATGCACTGCAGTGCTAGCTAGCTGTAGCCTATGCTTTCAGTACTAGATTCATTCTCTGATCCTTTGATTGGATGGACAAAATGTCAGTTCATGCTGCAAGAGCTCTGATAGGTTGGAGGACGTCCTCCGGAAGTGAGAACCATGAGCCTCCTAGGCTTGGTATTGAAGTCAATGTACCCAGAGGAGGACGGAAACTAGCTGTCCTCCGGCTACACCGTGGTGCTACCCTACAGAGTGCTATTGAGGCTACTGTAGACCTTCATTGCAAAACAGTGTGTTTTAATGAATTATTTGGTGACGTGAATATATTTAGTATAGTTTTATCTAAAAATGATAACTTTTTGAATGTTTCACTATTTTTTTTATTTTTTTATGAACTTCACTGAGGAGGATAGTCCTCCCCTTCCTCCTCTGAGGAGCCTCCACTGCTGTGAATGCATCTGTAATATTGTCACTAGAAGTCTCCCCTCTTTTAATTCCTCACCTCTTTAGCTTTATTATGACAGTTCCAGTGTTGCTCAGTCCAGCGGCCGGGGTGAACAGAGACCTCTGTCTGCGCAGCTTCAGGAGTCCCTCCACCAGCTGATGTTTCTGGGTGCCAGACCCAGGGCCCCGCAGGTGGAAGGTCTTAGCCAGGCTACGGCGCTCCGGGGGGCAGGCAGCAGGTCCCCAGAACCTCCCCCAGCTCCTGGAGGTCACTGTCTGGAAAAACCAGTTGAGGATGTTGGGCATTGGATGGTAGGGATTGGTTAGGGTTTGATCATTTGAGTGACTTCCCACTGTTAGTGTGACAGAGTGGAAATTCAACCCTCCGCACCATAACACAACACACTCAAGAAGCACAGTCAATACTGACTCAGAAAAGAAAAGGCACGTCTGCATCCAGGGCTACAGTTCCTCTAGATCCCAGGAAGGCAGTAGCAATGCACTTAGCCATCCAAACATTAGCATTTAGCATAATACCATTTGAAGTCCATTCATTCAACTGTTTGTAGAAAGCTTTCTTCAATCAGTTCCTGTGCTACAGGTCCCAGGTCAGTGCTAATCTCAGCATAGTGCTAGCATTGATTTAGCTAGCCATAATACCATCCAAGTCCATTGAAGTGTTAGCATTTAGCATGATACCATCCAAGTCCATTCATTGACCTGTCTGTAGGAAGCCTCCTTCCACTAGCTTCTGAGCTACAGGTCCCAGGTCAGTGCTAATCTCGTCATAGTTCAGCTTGTTGACCTGGCGCCACTTCAGTTTCTTCTGACCTGTCACAGAGTGGAAGGAAAGGCAAATTAGCAAGGCTGGTTGATGATAAAATAGTAGTCAAAATGCTAAAGGGGTATTGCTACATGTAATTAATTGTACTTTGTATGTTGTGATTTTATATTATCTTGTGTTATAAATTTTTTATGTATGTTCAAAACAAATTTGCAGAACACTTTCCTGTAGCCTTCCTTAGGTATGCATTCATAAAGCCCTTATAACAGCTTTATAAGACCTTATAACATCTGTCATAGGCAGTCATGTGGAATAACGTTTCTGTTCTATTCTACATTCCTGACAGACGTTCAAAGCTGTGTATGGCTGAGAGATCTTCTTGGTTGAACAGCATCCTATCATCTTCCATCTCCAGCACCGTCACTAGCACGGTCAGGAAGTTACACAGGTAGTACGGTAACCGTGGTGACTTTGAATCTGTGGTATTGCTCTTTGCTTCCTTATCAGTTATTCTGTCTGTGTCAGCTGATCAATCACTGTGGATTCTTCTTCTTCTTCTTGTTCTCCTCCTTCTTTGTCAAATTGTCATTTTTTCTTCCTCTGGTGCTTCTCTCACGAGCCTCCTCATGCACCTCTGAGCTGCTCTTCAATGGAGTGTCACAGTTACCAGCTGAAGATTCTTCTGTTCAATGTTGCTTATCATCATCATCATCAGCTGTTTGTTTCTAGTGAGGTTCTCATCTGGTTCTCACCATCGCTCTTCTCATATCGGCCTTTCTTGATGTGAATAGACGTCCTCTGTGTTTTAACAGAGACCTCTGCTTTCGCTCCTTTTTTCCTCTTGTTCAGTCTAGATGGACCAGCGGACAGAGGTGGCGGGGCCACGAGAACCACCGGAGACAAGGATTCTAATTTAGAATCAAATTTGGATTCTAAATGTTGAAAGGTTCTTCTCTGCTTTCTGCCTGAGGTCTGCCCAGTGATATAGGACTGTGACTTTCTACTGTGTCATTTGTTGTCTCTGTGTCCATTAAGCATGTTGTCTGGTCACCTAATGCCTGAGGGAGATGGTTCTCCTTCTGAGAGCTGCTCAGTTCCTCAGACCTGTCTTTCTCTGGGGATTCCTGGATGGTGATGATGTCATCAATCTGCGACTGTAACTGTAGGTCCTCAGGGGACTTCAGGCTTTCCTTCAGGCCTCTACTGGAGAACTTAGAGGACAGCCTGCTACCAAGGTCAATGGTCCTGACTACAGTCTTACTGCTCATCTCTCTGGTGGTTACCTGCGAAGAAGAAGAAGAAGAAGAAGAAGAAGAAGAAGAAGAAGAAGAAGAAGAAGAAGAAGAAGAAGAAGAAGAAGAAGAAGAAGAAGAAGAAGAAGAAGAAGAAGAAGAAGAGTTTCCACTCACTACCAAATATGGTGATGACAGGAAGCCCAGTGGCCGGCACTGGGAGAAGATGGAGCTAGATGATTTTGCCCGACATTTTGCTAATTTTCTCATCTATGAAACATTTAATCTCCATACAGTTTTCTGTTTCTAAAACCAAAACATGTAACAAACAGACTGGACTGCGTTTTGTAGACTTTACCCTTTGCCAAAGTTTCTAAAAAATGGCGAATTGAGTTATTGCACACCCATACTTCACAGAGTAGGCGTTCCCTAACGGAAATATGCAAATAAATGCTAGAACACGCGAATAGGATCTCACTAGCTCGTGCTTGGCTCTGCCCACCTCCTTGCTTGTTCTGCCCACAATGATTAATGATCTCCAATTGGAAACGACAGGCTCTGGTCTATCTTGGGTTAGTTCTAAAAAAAACTTTTGAAGGTACTGTCCGGATCATGGACCTTCCTGGCCTTCCTGGGAGGGGAGTGAGACGATGCCAGCTTTGTTGTAGAAGCTCTGTTACCTGGCTGAAGTAGTAGCAGTATCAATGGACGCACCATCTTGACTGTGAGTCAATGTGTAGGTTTATCGTGAACTGTTGCGCCAGCTGAGCACACAGGACATGCAGGGCTGGCAGTGGCACTCTTCTCACCGACCGATTCTTCTCTCTTTGTTACCGAGAGGCTTCTCTGATGTTTGGGTTAGGATTTATTTCCTTTCTCTGCCGTGGTGTTTCAACTGTTGTGGGTGTTGTTTTCACGCTTTGTCTTAGAAAAACAGGTGCCGATACTCCGTTATGTAGCTATCTAGACAGTAACTTGCTAATGTATGTCCACCACCCAATATGTAATGTGAGAGCGAGAGAGAAAAAAAAGTTAGAGTTCACACCTCCTACTCAGACATATTTCTGTCCTGTGTGACAGTGAGAGAAACCTACTTGCTGAACGTTATCATCCATACTACACTAGTACCAGATATTCTTTAGTACAATGTCACTGTCACATCATAAACGTATAATTCCTTCATATTATAGCACATCCACTCACCAGTGTTCACCAGTGTCGTTCACCACCGCAATGTGCGACAGCGCCGGTGAACCTCCAACAACCTGAGCTGGCTAGCTAGTTCTCTTGCTCTCCAACTATCTTCACGTTACCTTTGCAGGCGTCAGACAATGGCAGAGAAACGGTCATACTGGGTATGCATTGTGTTTATAGCTAATCACATTATTATGAGTTTTAGATGAAATGAAGCTAGTTGAGGAGCCGGGGGTTTTTGTCGTTACAGAACAGGCTGTTTCGCGCTCAAGAACAATCGAGCAAGGATGTCATGAGCAAATCTAGAGTGGACTAAAGTAGACTAATAGATGACAAATCCGTCGATCTTGGTGGATTTTCATAGATTGTTGAAAATGGAGGTCATTGTGTGCTTTCACAAAATAATAACACAACATAAAACAGTTTTTAAATATTAATTGTTATTAATTGAGATAACAGGCCTATGAGATGTAGCCTACCTGCTATCTGGAAATGTAAATGTTTTTTAATCCCCAAGAAAAAAATGTTGATGTAATGTTTACTATAGGCCACTCACTTTGACTCTGCTACTGATGTCTGTTCAGTCTCATGTGGCATCAGATGGACCAGGGTCAGTGTTTCCCAAACCTGGTCCTCGGGTACCCTCAACAGTACACATTGTAGTTGTAGCCCGGGATAAACATACCTCGTTCACACCTCATTCAACTCATCAAGGGCTTGTTGATTAGTTGACAAGTTGAATCAGTTGTGCTTGTCAAGGGCTACAATGAAAATGTGTACTGTTGAGGGGTACTCGAGGACCAGGGTTGGGAAACACTGGACCAGACCATTTCCTCGGTGCTGCCCGCCCGTACTGAGGCGAACAGAGGCTGAGGAGAGAGAACAGAGGTGCCTGCCTGAGGTATTCCTTACACATGTTCCAGGGCAGCTTGCCCCCTTTCTACCAAATTCACCCGATTCCGCGGTTTCAAAGGCAAATCTCTGATCCCGACACAGGCAAGAATTTAAAAGGAGCCAAGATCCTATCATCAGTCAATGCTGGTAAGTCGGATATCAGCCTATATTCTGTTGATTAGGAAGCTTTAATAGAAAGAAATCTGTAGCATGTTCAGCGTACAACCCGCTATCTCGGGTCCCTATTATAAAGAGATTCATGGCACATACACACACACACCACCAGCCTGATTAGCTTATAACACTACACCAGCGTGGTGCAGTCTCAATGAGAAATCATTCAAATCAAGGTCGTTGTTAATTGTGCCTATAAGAAGTAAACGGTTTGTTTTGTCGGCTATAGATATACAAGGCTATAGATGAATGTGACGATTAGCGGTTTTCAGAGAACGGATGAGAAAACCATCTCTGCGTTTTATGGGGGGGGGGGGGGGGGGGGGGGACAGAGAAAAGATGCTGATTGCGTGAAAACCCGGATCCGATTTAAGAAATAGGTTGAGATAGAACGAATGCTTGCGTTTGCCTGTCCTGTGTTCACGGAACAGTTTTCTAACACTACCCCTGCAGTTGCGGCAAAAGTTTGGCGTAATCGTTTATCATTTTATTATCTGCAGTGTTCAATGGAAGAATCTCGCACGAGATCTTATAAGATCCACACTAGCAACAGCATTTGCAACGTCTTAATGATCAACAAAAAGTCCTACTACAAATAGCATCAATCGTCCATATTACGGTTCAGCACCATGGACAGTTCGCATTTAAGCGTGTCTGTGTGTTTGGCGGGTATTATTGAAGCAGATGTGTAGTGACGCAGTTTTAGAAGACTAAACCATTTGATTTCGCTCACTTGGGGATTGCATGCGTTCCCTTACTTCTTTATTTGGTCTAGCTATGTAAATAAAACCAGTAAGCTATCCTAGGCATAGATGTTGCTTGTAAACCCCGATATGCAATTCCAATTATAATTTGACCATGGGTTCATTGCGGCCTTATTCTAGGACTGAGGATAGTGTGGTGGGGGAATTTTGATGGGCCAGCCTGAGCCATGGCTCATGGGAAGAAGCCAGGGAAGATCACCAGAATCCTGGGGCCCAGCCCTCCATCCTGCCCTGGCCACGCTGGATTCATAGAGAAGAAGCCAGGGACTATTAGAAGAATATTGGCCCCCAGCCCTCCGCCCAGGCCGGGTCCCACAGGATCCACAGAGGAGTCTAATGAAGAACCTCATAATGAAGGCCCTCAGAAAGAAAGCCCACAGAGTTTTAGGAGTAAGGGCCCTCCGCCCTGCCCTGGCCCCCCATCCACAGGGGAGCCTACTGACGAAGAACCCCAGAGTCTGAGCAGCAAAGGCCCAACTGAAGGACCTCGTAATGGGCCCTGGAGTCTGAAGAGTGAGGGCCCTCCTCAGCACTCTCAGAGCGCCAGCAATGAGGAGCTGGACAATAACAACGGCGAGAGGAACCCTGGGCCTGCAGCAGCTGTCCCTGTCCCTGTCCCTGTCCCTGTCCCTGTCCCTGTCCCTGCAACACAGGCCCACCCAACCCAAGACCACAGCCACCTGACTCAGGCCCAGGACTACCCTCGGCAGCCAGATGCCCAGGCCCAGCCCCGACAGCCCCAGCAGCATTGCAGAGAGAGTCCAACCAGCCCCAGCACCAGGCCCACCTCTGACTCCCCATCCAGCCAGGAGAGCGAGCCCAGGGCTGTTAAACCAGCACCTGTTTTTACCAGTGCCAGTCCTAACCACCCGTGTCAGATTAGTCCCACCAGTGCCAGTCCTAACCACCCGTGTCAGATTAGTCCCACCAATTCACCTCTTCCTGTCCCTCCTAGAGCTAGTGTCTTGCTGAACCAGCCCAGTGACACCACCAGCCCTGACAGCATGGATGAGGAGGAGGAGGAGGAGGAGGAGGAGGAGGAAGAGGACAGCTGCTCAGAGTACGACAACGTGGGTTCGGACGTGGAGGTTGCGGAGCAAGACATTGATCAGGTGCTACATGTGGAAGACCAGGGCATGAAGGTGAGGTATGACAGCCACGACCCTGAGCCTCAGGATGGAGGCTATGTAGAGAGGGAGGATGGCATGTACGTGGAACACCAAGACAGAACCTACGTGGAACACCAAGACAGAACCTACGTGGAACACCAAGACGGAACCTACATGGAACACCAAGACGGAACCTACGTGGAATGTGAAGACAGAACTTACATAGAACACGAAGACGGAACCTATGTGAAACTCCAAGACGGAACCTACGTGGAACACCAAGACGGAACCTACGTGGAACACCAAGACGGAACCTACGTGGAACATCAAGACGGAACCTACGTGGAACACCAAGACGGAACCTACGTGGAACACCAAGACGGAACCTACGTGGAATGTGAAGACAGAACTTACATAGAACACGAAGACGGAACCTACGTGAAACTCCAAGACGGAACCTACGTGGAATGTGAAGACAGAACTTACATGGAACACGAAGACGGAACCTACGTTGAAAGTGAGGATTGTACCTATTGCCCCAAGGATGCTACCTATGTAGAAGGTGTGGAGGGTACCTATGTGGAGGATAGTGTGAAGGGGAACAGCCTGGAGGGGAACAGCCTGGAGGGGAACAGCCTGGAGGGGAACAGCCTGGAGGGGGATGGCAGCGGCACTGGACAATACAAACCCACCAGGTCTGAGTCTGAGGAAATGGTTATGTATGATGAAAGACTACGGCAGGAGACAGATGCAAATCCCTGTAGCTCTTCTGAGAATCAGTTCAGTGACAATCCATGTCATCATCCCCTCAAGGCTGGAGACGAGGAGGAGGATGAGGGGCAGGAGGAGGAGGTGGAGGGGCAGGAGGGGGAGGAGGTGGAGGAGAGGCAGGAGGGGGAGGAGGTGGAGGGGAAAGAGGTGGAGGGGCAGGAGGAGGAGGTGGAGGAGGAAGTGGTGGAGGAGGTGGAGGGCCAGGAGGAGGAGGTGGAGGAGGGACAGGAGGTGGAGGGGAAGGAGGGGGAGGAGGCGGAGGTGGAGGTGCAGGAAGATAATAATTTTCCAGATGAGACAGGAGAAACAGAGGAAGAGCGGGATGTGACCACGTACACAGAGGAGGATTCTGAAGAGACAGAGGACAGAGAGCAGAAAAAATCACCCAACAGCCACCTGGAGAATGATGTGGAGAGGATGAGAGAGGGAGAGAGGATGAGAGAGGAAAAGAGGGGTGACCGAGACAGGGAGGATGGTGAGGTCTGCAGAGTGCAGGAGCAAACCCCCAGCCGCCAGCGGAAGGAGGAGAGGATGAGAGATGGAGAGCAAAAGGGAGATAGAGAGGACGATGATAGTGCGGAAGTTGAGGTCTTCTCTATGGGGAACTGTAACACCCCTGAGGACAGTAAGATCTCAGTGTGTGTCTCAGAGTCCCCACAAAGGGCCCCCTATAGGGGTAGTGGAGGGGGAAGGGATTGGACTTGTGAGGCCCCTCAAAGGGCCCATAAGGAGGTGAAGAGGCAGGGGAGGGGAGGAGGACGGGGAGGGAGGAGTGGGAGGGAAGGAGGAAGGGGCTGGAGGGAGACTGACAGGGAGGAAGACACTGGCCAGATAGTATCTGAGATAAAGGTATGCATGAGCAGCAGCAGCAGCTCAGAGACACAGGACTGCAGAGAGGCTGCCACCAGGCCCAGACCACCAAGACCCAGACCCAGGCCTAGGTCCGGCCCCGGCCCCGGCTCCCCACACCCTCACCAGACAGAATTCCGCCCGAAACAGGCCTACCAGACCCACACCTACCTGACAGAGGTCCATACCTTCACAACACAGGTCCAGAACCACCAGCTAAAGGCCCAGAGTGATGTCCGACAGAACCAGAAGACAAAGACACAGAACTGCAGAGAAGGTGCCATCAGACCTAGACCCAGATCTGGCCCCAACACAACACACCCTCACCCTCCCCAGACCCCGGCCTTAATGCAGCACACTCAGGCCCACCAGACCCAGACCCAGACCCAGTATCGACAGGCCCAGACGACACAGGCCCAGCCCACACAGGCCCAGACGACACAGGCCCAGACGCACAAGAGACAAGCACCCTCCCACCCGACACAGGCCCACCCGACACAGGCCCACCCAACACAGGCCCAGCCTCATCAGACCCAGACCCAGACCCAGACCCAGTATCGACAGGCCCAGCCGACACAGGCCCAGACGCACAAGAGACAAGCACCCACCCACCCAACACAGGCCCAGCCTCATCAGACCCAGACCCAGCAGCACCACAGAGAGAGTCCCGTCAACCCCAACCACAGCCCCACCTCTGACAGCCCTAGGCCCACCTCTGACAGCCCTAGGCCCACCTCTGACAGCCCTAGGCCCACCTCTGACAGCCCTAGGCCCACCTTTGACAGCCCTAGGCCCACCTTTGACAGCCCTAGGCCCACCTTTGACAGCCCTAGGCCCACCACTGCCTCCCCTCCCAGCCACAAGGCCCAGACACAGGACCACACTCCCCAGACCCGACAGACCCGACAGACCCAGCAGCATTGCAGAGAGACCACCACCAGCCGGAGCCCCAGGCCTCCCTCTCCTCCCTTCCAGGAGAGCCGCCAGGTCCACACCCAGAACCAGAACCAGACCCAGCAGCCTCGCAGAGACAGCACCACCAGCCCCAGCCCAAGGCCCACTTCTGACTCCTCATCCAGCCTGGAGAAACATCCTAGGGCTGTAAAACCATCACCATTACCATCACCATCTCCACCAGCTTCACACCACAACGCAGAGCCACAGAGAGAGTCCCCAGAGGAGAGACAGACACGGACACAGACACACAAACAGGTAACTGCCTGATGCTGCCAACTCCAACAGGGTTTGTTTTATGACAGGGACCATGTACAACAAACACTGCACCAGATTTTTACCTACATAGCTAAGTCTCATCTGCAGTCCGGTCGTGTTTCTGTCTGTTTCTGTCTGTTAGTAAGATCTCCCCTCTGCCTGTTCCAGATGCCTCAAGACGTCTCAGAGCAGCAGCCTAGCAGGCCTCACTGCCCAGAGCCCCAGGCCCCAGAGGGGGACAGGAACAACACACCTCCGCCTGAACCAACAAAGAACAACGCCTCGTTCCCCAGCTTTGTGGATGGTAAATATCATTTCTCTGTATAGTTCATTGATTCCATACCTGAGTAATGGACATTTGATTATATGATATAACCATTTTATGAATCTTTTGGTCTCTGGTGTGATGTTGTTATAGTGCTGCAACAAAGCAATAGGACAATAAAGGTCGCCTGAATGTGAATCTGTCTGGATCTGAGTCACAGGTTCCTGTCTTAATAAAATAAGTAAATCAATATTTCTTATGCCCAGTCCCAGGTCCGTGTGAGCCCGAGGACCTGATCGATGGGATTATCTTTGCTGCTAACTACCTGGGTTCCACCCAGCTGCTGTCTGACAAGAACCCATCTAAAGGAATACGCATGACCCAGGCACAGGAGGCTGTCAGTCAGGTCAAGGTATGGTGGGTGTGGTGTGGTGTGGTGTGTGGGTGGGTGTGGTGTGTGTGGGTCTGTGTGGGTGTGGTGGGTGTGGTGTGGGTGCGGTGTGGTCTGTGGGTGGATGGGTGTGGTTGGGTGTGGTGGGTGGGTGTGGTGTGAGTGGGTGTGTGTGTGTCTGGGTGGGTGGGTGTGGGGTGGGTGGGTGTGGTGTGTGGGTGTGGTGAGGTGGGTGGGTGTTATGTGGTGGGTGGTTGGGTGTGGTGTGGGTGGGTGGGTGGGTGTGGTGTTGGTATGGGAGGTGGGTGTGGTGTGGTGGGTGTGGGTCGGTGGGTGTGGTGTGTGTTGGTGTGGGTGTGTTTTCTCCAAAAGGATAGTAAAACAAGGAACATTCTCCCTCGAGGGGACATTTCGCATGTCCCCAAGAGAACAAAGGCTAATTTAAGTTTAGGGGTTAGGTTTAGGGTTACAATTAGAGTTAGGCTTAGAATTAGGGTTAGGGTTAGGGTATTGTGCTGTCTTACTAACTGACCAGGCTAATGTTATTATATTAGCATTGTGCTGTCTTACTAACTGACCAGGCTAAGGTTATTATATTAGCATTGTGCTGTCTTACTAACTGACCAGGCTAAGGTTATTATATTAGCATTGTGCTGTCTTACTAACTGACCAGGCTAATGTTGTTATATTAGCATTGTGCTGTCTTACTAACTGACCAGGCTAAGCTTATTATATTAGCATTGTGCTGTCTTACTAACTGACCAGGCTAAGGTTATTATATTAGCATTGTGCTGTCTTACTAACTGACCAGGCTAAGGTTATTATATTAGCATTGTGCTGTCTTACTAACTGACCAGGCTAAGGTTATTATATTAGCATTGTGCTGTCTTACTAACTGACCAGGCTAATGTTGTTATATTAGCATTGTGCTGTCTTACTAACTGACCAGGCTAAGCTTATTATATTAGCATTGTGCTGTCTTACTAACTGACCAGGCTAAGCTTATTATATTAGCATTGTGCTGTCTTACTAACTGACCAGGCTAAGGTTATTATATTAGCATTGTGCTGTCTTACTAACTGACCAGGCTAAGGTTATTATATTAGCATTGTGCTGTCTTACTAACTGACCAGGCTAAGGTTATTATATTAGCATTGTGCTGTCTTACTAACTGACCAGGCTAATGTTGTTATATTAGCATTGTGCTGTCTTACTAACTGACCAGGCTAAGCTTATTATATTAGCATTGTGCTGTCTTACTAACTGACCAGGCTAAGCTTATTATATTAGCATTGTGCTGTCTTACTAACTGACCAGGCTAAGCTTATTATATTAGCATTGTGCTGTCTTACTAACTGACCAGGCTAAGCTTATTATATTAGCATTGTGCTGTCTTACTAACTGACCAGGCTAAGCTTATTATATTAGCATTGTGCTGTCTTACTAACTGACCAGGCTAATGTTGTTATATTAGCATTGTGCTGTCTTACTAACTGACCAGGCTAAGCTTATTATATTAGCATTGTGCTGTCTTACTAACTGACCAGGCTAAGGTTATTATATTAGCATTGTGCTGTCTTACTAACTGACCAGGCTAAGGTTATTATATTAGCATTGTGCTGTCTTACTAACTGACCAGGCTAAGGTTATTATATTAGCATTGTGCTGTCTTACTAACTGACCAGGCTAATTTTGTTACCCATTAAATGGTCAAGATGATGTTGTATTTTTTTACGCATCTCATGTCTTGATCTATGGATGGCAGTTGGTCTGTTCATCAATTGTCTTCTGTTATTCCTAACAAAAGTAAGGAAATGTGCCTTGGAGTGCACTTTCGAACCACATGATGGCGGTCTTTTATTCCTTTTCACCATGGTTTGCCCACAGAGCCAAGATGAAGACTCTCAAATGGTGACAGAAGTGGACCTCTTCATCTCCACCAAGGCAGTCAAAATGCTGAATGCTGACTCACAGGTGTGTAACTGTGAGCTCTGACTTAATAAAAACACTGTGTATTACTTCTCTGTAGCACCAAGTCCGGAACTAGGCCCGGGATTCTATCCGATCACGTTTGTAGACAATGCATCTCTTAAAGGCAATATTCACACGTCGGCGAAAATCACATACACAGTAAATAGTCAATGTTGGCTCAATCAGAAATTAACTTTAGACGTCAAGCGCCCTATAATGCGGATCTAATGCGGATCAGATTGAATCCCCCCTAGGTTTAATCTGTGTCCAGGAAACCTGCCCAAAGCTTCATTTTATGCTGTTTCATAAGATTCCTCTGTCTTGCTCCTTGTGGACATGTTGTTGAGGACCGTCCACTCCACACAGTACTGAGTTATTACCACAGCAGCTATATATATATATTATTTATTCCCCCAGGAGACGCTGATGGACAGTGCGTTGCGTTCCATCTCTTACATCGCAGACATCGGGAGCATCGTGGTTCTGATGGCTCGTACCCATATGTCAGGCACGTCCTCGCAGGACTGTACTGAAGCTGATCTCTCCTCCTCAGAGGGACAGAGACAGTACAGAATGATCTGCTATGTCTTCGAGTCAGAGGACGTGAGTACAATTTGTATTCTGGTCTGTCCTGATTTCTGTTCTATTCTCCCACTCGCTTCCCTTGGCATACTGCTGAACATTATTGATTTATTGGGGCAATGATTTTGGTCTCTGAGATTGATTATTGTTTGCCACAGTGTTCGCAGAAGAAGGTCTATTGCTGAATTGAAAACACCACATTTTGTTTTTATACATTTCTATACACTATCTACAGTACAAAACTACTGAACATAATTTTAAAGCTTTAAAAATGGTCATTGCTTGTACAGAGGCCCTACTTTATTAATCTCTAATGTTGGCCTTCCTATAACGTGTTATACACTACATTACCAAAATTATGTGGACACCTGCTCGTCGAACATCGCATTCCAAAATCATGGGCATTCATATGGAGTTGGTCTCCCCTTTGCTGCTATAACAGCCTCCAGTCTTCTGGGAAGGCTTTCCACTAGATGTTGGAACATTGCTGCGGGGACTTGCTTCTATTCAGCCACAAGAGCATTAGTGAGGTCGGGCACTGATGTTGGGCGATTAGGCCTGGCTCGCAGTCGGCGTTCCAATTCATCCCAAAGGTGTTCGATGAGGTTGAGGTCAGGGCTCTGTACAGGCCAATCAAGTTCTTGCACACCGATCTCGACAAACCATTTCTGTATGGACCTCGCTTTGTGCACGGGAGCATGGTCATGCTGAAACAGGAAAGGGCCTTCCCCAAACTGTTTCCACAAAGTTGGAAGCACAGAATCGTCTAGAATGTCATCGTATGTTGTAGCGTTAAGATTTCCTTTCTCTGGAACTAAGGGGCCTAGTCTGAACCATGAAAAACAGCCCCAGACTATTATTCCTCCTCCACCAAACTTTACAGTTGGCACTAGCGTTCTCCTGGCATCCGCCAAACCCAGATTCGTCCGTCGGACTGCCAGATGATGAAGCGTGATTAATCTCTCCAGAGAACGCGTTTCCACTGATCCAGAGTCCAATGGCGGTGAGCGTTACACCACTCCAGCCGACGCTTGGCATTGCGCATGGTGATCTTAGGCTTGTGTTTGGCTGCTTGGCCATGGAAACCCATTTTATGAAGCTCCCAACTAACAGTTCTTGTGCTGACGTTGCTACCAGAGGCAGTTTGGAACTTGGTAGTGAGTGTTGCAACCGTGGACAGACGATTTTTAAGCGCTTCAGCACTTGGCAGTCCCGTTACGTGATCTTGTGTGGCCTACCACTTTGCGGCTGAGCCGGTGTTGCTCCTAGACGTTTCCACTTCACAATAACAGCACTTACAGTTGACCTGGGCAGCTCTAGCAGGGCAGAAATGTGACGAACTGACTTGTTGGAAAGGTGGCATCCTATGACGGTGCCACGTTGAAAGTCACTGAGCTCTTCAGTACAGGCCACTCTACTGCCAGTGTTTGTCTATGGCGATTGCATGGCTGTGTGCTCGATTTTATAAACCTGTCAGCAGCGGGTGTGTCCACATACATTTGAAGGGGTGTCCACATACATTTGAAGGGGTGTCCACATACATTTGAAGGGGTGTCCACATACTTTTGAAGGGGTGTCCACATACATTTGAAGGGGTGTCCACATACATTTGAAGGGGTGTCCACATACATTTGTATATATAGTGTATCTTCATTCATCATTTGGTTGGTCCTTAACCCATCTCTGTATTGTTGTCAACTTGAATAGCCTGTCTCTTCCATTGAGTAGTTTCTTCCTACCAACCCTCCCCTCCCCTCTCCCTCTCCTGCCCTCACCTCTCCTCTGCCTCTTCTCCCCAGGCCCAGCTCATTGCCCAGTCCATCGGCCAGGCATTCAGCGTCGCCTACAGGGAGTTCCTCCGAGCCAATGGGATCAACCCTAAGGACCTGAGTCAGAAGCAATACAGTGACATCATCAATTCCCAGGAGATGTACAACGACGACCTGGTGCATTTCTCAAACTCTGACAACTGTAAAGAGGTGTGTGTGTGTGTGTGTGTGCGTGCGTGCCTATATGCATGCATGAAATAGACTGATAGACAAGTGTAAAGAGGTGTGACGGCTTACTGTGGTGATTGTTGACCGTGATGCATGACTCTAGATACACTCCATCAACTCAGTATAGAGGGCAGATACAGTAGAGAAGATATTGAGGCTCTTGGACCATGCAGTAGCTTCGGCGTTCCATGTGGGGCGGCAGGTAGCTTTAGTGGTTAAGAGCGTTGTGCCAGTAACCAAAAGGTCGCTGGTTCTAATCCCCGAGCCGACTAGGTGAAAAATCTGTTGATGTGCCCTTGAGCAAGGCACTTCAACCCTAATTGCTCCTGTAAGTCGCTCTGGATAAGAGCGTCTGCTAAATGACTAAAAATGTAAATGTAAATGTAGCTAGGCAGTGCAAAGATGTTTGCTAGAGTTCGGGATCGATCTTACCCATCCGGTAAGCTAAAAACAATGACGTTGAAGAGTACAAGTAAGTAGTGTTCTTGCTTCAGTAAGACCACTACTGTTATTCTGCATATCTATTTTTTGATGATAATTTTTTTTTCATATTTTCATTATTTTATTATCAAGTAAAATGAAGTTTATAAGATAGACTAATAACTTCTAACTTAAAGATATATAAATGGACTTCCTGTCTCTGTGTGTTTGTGTGTCTCCACAGCTGGAGTTGGAGAAGCAGAGGGGAGAGAGCCTGGGTGTAGTGATAGTGGAGTCTGGCTGGGGCTCCATCCTGCCCACGGTGATCCTGGCTAACATGTTGAACAGCGGCCCGGCTGCCCGCTCTGGGAAACTCAGCGTCGGGGACCAGATCATGTCCATTAACAACACTAGCCTGGTGGGCCTACCGTTAGCTACCTGCCAGGGTATCATCAAGGTCTGGAGCATACAGTCGACTCAGGCAGCATCTATGTTATTCAAAAAACTGCTCTTTTATCAGTCATGAAGGAAAGGAGATGGGGAGTTGAGGAAAGGAAGACATTTTAGCGGTATTGAGATTGAGACACAGCCATTATAGGAATCCATTTTAGAGTATTGTGATTGAGACACAGCCATTGTAGGAAGCCATTTTAGAGTATTGAGATTGCGACACAGCCATTCTAGGAAGCCATTTTAGAGTATTGAGATTGAGACACAGCCATTGTAGGAAGCCATTTTAGAGTATTGAGATTGCGACACAGCCATTCTAGGAAGCCATTTTAGAGTATTGAGATTGAGACACAGCCATTATGGGAAGCCATTTTAGAGTATTGAGATTGAGACACAGCCATTGTAGAAAGCCATTTTAGAGTATTGAGATTGCGACACAGCCATTCTAGGAAGCCATTTTAGAGTATTGAGATTGAGACACAGCCATTATGGGAAGCCATTTTAGAGTATTGAGATTGAGACACAGCCATTCTAGGAAGCCATTTTAGAGTATTGAGATTGAGACACAGCCATTCTAGGAAGCCATTTTAGAGTATTGAGATTGAGACACAGCCATTCTAGGAAGCCATTTTAGAGTATGAGATTGAGACACAGCCATTCTAGGAAGCCATTTTAGTGTTGAGACAGGTGTCATTTATTGTGTTCCGGTTGTCCTTCCAGGGTCTGAAGAGCCAGGTCCAGGTGAAGCTGAGTATCGTGTGTTGTCCTCCTGTAACCACCGTCCTCATCAAGAGACCTGACCTCAAGTTCCAGCTGGGCTTCAGTGTTCAGAATGGCATCGTGAGTAGGATTATGATACAGTTATAATGCATTATAAGAATGTATAATTAAAAAAATATATATATGTATATTTTAGCAGCTTTAATATTGCAGATAGATTATAGCTTCCATCAATGTAATTGTCTGCATCATTTCCAATCCCCCATATATTTATTGGTAAATATATATATTTATATATATATATACATACATACACATACATACATATACACATATATAAATATACATATACACATACATATACATACATACAAACATACAGTGGGGCAAAAAAGTATTTAGTCAGCCACTATTTGTGCAAGTTCTCCCACTTAAAAAGATGAGAGAGGCCTGTAATTTTCATCATAGGTACACGTCAACTATGAAAGACAAATTGAGAAAAAAAATTCCAGAAAATCACATTATAGGATTTTTTATGAATTTATTTGCAAATTATGGTGGAAAATAAGTATTTGGTCACCTACAAACAAGCAAGATTTCTGGCTCTCACAGACCTGTAACTTCTTCTTTAAGAGGCTCCTCTGTCCTCCACTCGTTACCTGTATTAATGGCATCTGTTTGAACTTGTTATCAGTATAAAAGACACCTGTCCACAACCTCAAACAGTCACACTCCAAACTCCACTATGGCCAAGACCAAAGAGCTGACAAAGGACACCAGAAACAAAATTGTAGACCTGCACCAGGCTGGGAAGACTGAATCTGCAATAGGTAAGCAGCTTGGTTTGAAGAAATCAACTGTGGGAGCAATTATTAGGAAATGGAAGACATACAAGACCACTGATAATCTCCCTCGATCTGGGGCTCCACGCAAGATCTCACCCCGTAGGGTCAAAATGATCACAAGAACGGTGAGCAAAAATCCCAGAACCACACGGGGGGACCTAGTGAATGACCTGCAGAGAGCTGGGACCAAAGTAACAAAGCCTACCATCAGTAACACACTACGCCGCCAGGGACTCAAATCCTGCAGTGCAAGACGTGTCCGCCTGCTTAAGCCAGTAAATGTCCAGGCCTGTCTGAAGTTTGCTAGAGTGCATTTGGATGATCCAGAAGAGGATTGGGAGAATGTCATATGGTCAGATGAAACCAAAATATAACTTTTTGGTAAAAACTCAACTCGTCGTGTTTGGAGGACAAAGAATGCTGAGTTGCATCCAAAGAACACCATACCTACTGTGAAGCATGGGGGTGGAAACATCATGCTTTGGGGCTGTTTTTCTGCAAAGGGACCAGGACGACTGATCCGTGTAAAGGAACGAATGAATGGGGCCATGTATCGTGAGATTTTGAGTGAAAACCTCCTTCCATCAGCAAGGGCATTGAAGATGAAACGTGGCTGGGTCTTTCAGCATGACAATGATCCCAAACACACCGCCCGGGCAATGAAGGAGTGGCTTCGTAAGAAGCATTTCAAGGTCCTGGAGTGGCCTAGCCAGTCTCCTGATCTCAACCCCATAGAAAATCTTTGGAGGGAGTTGAAAGTCTGTGTTGCCCAGCGACAGCCCCAAAACATCACTGCTCTAGAGGAGATCTGCATGGAGGAATGGGCCAAAATACCAGCAACAGTGTGTGAAAACCTTGTGAAGACTTACAGAAAACGTTTGACCTGTGTCATTGCCAACAAAGGGTATATAACAAAGTATTGAGAAACTTTTGTTATTGACCAAATACTTATTTTCCACCATAATTTGCAAATAAATTCATTAAAAATCCTACAATGTGATTTTCTGGATTTTTTTTTCTCATTTTGTCTGTCATAGTTGACGTGTACCTATGATGAAAATTACAGGCCTCTCTCATCTTTTTAAGTGGGAGAACTTGCACAATTGGTGGCTGACTAAATACTTTTTTCCCCCACTGTACATATAAATATATATATACTGTATATATATATACAATATATATATATATATATATATATATATATATATATATATATATATATATATATATATATACACATATCTTTAAAATATATATTTTCCTTTATTATTTTCCCCTAACCCTACCACCCCTCCCCTAATTGGAGTAAACTAATGGACAACAACACTTAGGCTTCTACTTCCAGTTTATACATACTATATACATTTTACGGACACAATCTTTTTTACAATAATTACATTTTGTTTGTTTTTAGTCCTGCCCTTCCTTTACCCTCAACCTCTCCCATCTATTTCTGAAGACCTTCCAGTTTGATTTCTATTTCCCATATATGTTTAACTGTGCTGTTTCACAAAAGTTTTGAAATACATGTCCTTAAATGAAACTGGTATATATATATATATATATATATATTTTTTTTTTTGTCACAATTTTCTTTAACCAATTTTGGTCTTTAATGCAGTTCCTTACTTTTTCCGCCTTCCACTTTCCTCTTCCATTTTTGCGGTAATGCTGCAATTAGTTGGTTGTAATTTTGGATAGAGCAAACATTTCCATATATTTTTGTTAGCTGCATGTGTGACATAACTCCACCAATCCTATTTATGATATAATTTACAAAGATTATACCTTTTTTAAATGTTTTATTGAAAAATAATGTTTTTTGATCAATTCGTACATAACCACAATATTTGTTGTATTATTTGTTCTGCCCTTTCTGGTGGATTAAACTGAAATTGCAACCAACTTTATATGGCTTGTTTTAAAAATAACTATATTTTGGAGATCATTTCGTTTTCAAATAACTGAAAGTGAGAGGTTGGAATCTGAATAAAGGGAAAAAGTCCATTCTTGAACATGGGGTGAGATATTCTTACTAGTCTGCTAGAGAACCAGTTCGGATTTAAGTATAACTTTTGTATTACTGACGCCTTTAGTGAGAGGTGTAATGCTTTAATATTTAATAATTTCTGCCCTCCGAATTCTTATTCATTATATAAATAGGCCCTTTTCATTTTATCTGGCTTGCCATTCCAAATAAAATTGAATATTTTTTCCTCATATAATTTAAAAAACTGTTCTCTAGGCGTAGGCAAGACCATAAGCAAATAGGTAAACTGGGATAATACTAAAGAGTTAATCAGGGTGATTTTTCCACAAATAGACATGTATTATCCTTTCCATGGTAGCAAGATCTTATATATTTTTGCAAACTTTCTATTAAAATGTATTGGAGTGAGATAATTTCTTTCTTTCGGGATATGTATACCGAGTATGTCCACATCCCCGTCAGACCATTTTATTGGTAAACTACACGGTAATGTAAATGTTTTATTTTTTTGTGATCCAATACATAATATAGTACATTTATCATAATTTGGTTGTAATCCAGAGAGGTTAGAAAATGTATCTAGATCCACTATGAGGCTGTGGAGGGATTAAAGTTGTGGATTTAAAAGAAAACATGAATCATCAGCGTACAATGACACCTTTGTTTTTAATCCCTGGATTTCTAACCCCTTAATATTATTGTTGGATCTGATTTTAACAGCTAACATTTTGATGGCAATAATAAATAGATATGCCGATAGTGGACAACCTTGTTTTACTCCTCTTGACAGTTTAAAATTATATGAGAAGTAGCCATTATTTACTATTTTACACCTAGGGTTACTATACATAACTTTAACCCATTTTATAAGAGATTCTCCAAAATTGAAATATTCCAGACATTTATGTATAAACTCCAGTTATACTTTATCAAAGGCCTTTTCAAAGTCAGCTATGAATACCAGCATACCTACACTGGTATGCCATCCAGCCCTGGAGTTTTCCTGGACTTAAAGGCTTTAATTGCATCAAGAGGTTCCTCCTCTGTAATTTGGCCTTCACATTAGTCTTTCTGTACAGCTGTTAATTTTACATTGTTAATAGAAAGAAAATCCATACAATTAGCTTCATTTAGTGGAGATGGAGGAGACTGAAATGAAAACATATGCTTAAAATACTTAACTTCCTCTTTCAAAATATCCTTTGGTGAATCATGGGTGACTCCGTCATTTGTAAAAAGTTTCAGTAAATTATTTTTGGTAGCATTTCTATGTTGAAGATAAAAAAAAAAAAGAAAAGGTGAATTTTTCCCCAAATTCCATCCAGTTCGCTTTATTTCTAATAATATATTACACTTGATCTTTCTTGAATAAGTTTCTCCATTTATTTTTGTTTTTCCTCTAATTTATTCTGAGCCTCTATGTTACAGTTTTTATTGCTACCTATCTGTTCTGTTAGTCCTTCCATTTCCTTTGTTAGTATGGACTCTTTTGACCTAAATTGCTTTCACTTTAGAGATGAGTACTGAATTGCATGGCCTCTAAAGGCACATTTAAAAGTGTCCCATACAATAAGGGGATTTGCTGTACCTATGTTATGTCGGAAAAAGTCAGTTATAAAGTATTCTGTCCTAGTTAAAAACATGTTTTCATCCAATAGGCTTTGATTAAATGTCCACTATCCTCGCCCATGTGGAAATTCTGTAAGAGTGATATATATGCTAATTATGTGATTGTCTGACCGCATTCTGTCCCCTATCAACACTTTTTAAACTTTTGGTGCCAGAGAGAATGACATAAGAAAGTAATCAAGACGACTAGCTTGATTGAGCCTCCGCCATGTATATCTCACTAGATCAGGATATTTAAGCCTCCATATACAGTGGGGAGAACAAGTATTTGATACACTGCCGATTTTGCAGGTTTTCCTACTTACAAAGCATGTAGAGGTCTGTAATTTTTATCATAGGTACACTTCAACTGTGAGAGACGGGATCTAAAACAAAAATCCAGAAAATAACATTGTATGATTTTTAAGTAATTAATTTGCATTTAATTAATCACCTTTCCTCCACAAACAACCATAAACTCAGATGCTCAACAGTTGTTCCATCCCAGAGCCCAACTCAAGAAAGGACTTGATTTACGAATGCATATACTGTTTGAGAAGGCATTCAAAATTGAGCAAAAACTGGCAAAGATGTGGAGATTTGATTAACCATTGTCAAGTCCTAGGTGATGGAGATCAGCTACACCCCCATTATACGACTTGTCATAACCTCCAAATACTGTTATTATCATCTCTCTCATAATGACCCTGATAACAGCCATCTGGATTCAGAGAGTGGTTTTCTTTCTCTCTCCTCAGATCTGCAGTCTGATGCGTGGCGGTATCGCAGAGCGAGGAGGGGTGCGAGTCGGCCACAGGATCATTGAGATCAATGGGCAGAGTGTTGTTGCCATGCCGCATGAGAAGATAGTCCAGACCCTGTCTGTATCAGTGGGAGAGGTGAGCATCAGATTCCAGTGGCAGTTAGCTACCGGGTTCAAGTAATATCCTATCAGAGCCCGAAACAGACCAATCAGAAGCATTTATACAAATACAAGTGAGTGTCTTCACAATGAGCACTGATCTGTCCTCTTCTCTTTCCTCCTCCTCCTCCTCCTCCTCCTCCTCCTCCTCCTCCTCCTCCCTCTCCACTCCTCCTCCTCCTCCCGCCTCACTCGCTCATCTCCTACCGTCGGTCCTCTCCTCTCTCTCCTCTCCTCTCCTTCCTCTCCTCTCTCCTCCTCTCCTCCTCCTCCTCCTCTCCTCTCCTCGTCCCCTCCTCCTCCTCCTACCTCCTCTCCTCTCCTTTCCTGTCTTCTCCTTTCCTTCTCCTCCTCCGTCTCCTCCTCTCCCCTCCTCCATTCCTCCTCTCCTCCTCTCCCTCTCCTCCCCCATCCTTCCCCCTCCTCCACCTCGCTTTCCCCCCCCCTTTCCTTTCCTTCTCCTCCTCCTTTCCTCTCCTCCTCCTCCTCCTCCTCCTCCTCCTCTCCTCTCCCCCTCCTCCTCTCCTCTCTGTCAGATCAACATGAAGACCATGCCTGCGGTGATGTTCAGACTGTTAACAGGGCAGGAGATTCCTGTCTACATTTAGTCTTGCCATGTCTGTGTCCCAAATTGCACCCTATTCCCTATGTAGGGCACTACTTTAGACCAGGACCAATAGGGTTCTGGCTCAAATGTAGTGCACTATATAGAGAATAGGGTGTAATTTGGGACTGAGCCTTTATCTGCATCTCTTTCTGTGTACTCGCTCACTGCTTCTGCATGTCTAGGAGAAGTTGAACAGACAGGATGAGGGTGACAGGCAGCGGAGGCTGGTATTCCAGTCATTCAAATGAGCCTTCCCTCAGATTTTACAGTGACACCAGCCTCCGCTGGTGACAGGGTGATACATTAGCAACATGCATTTTTTTTGTTGATATCACATTATTTTCCTGTTACACTGCTGAAAGGGATTGCCCATTCTCAACTTCTAGAACTACACGGTCATAATGGTTTGAAATGTACATAACATAAATCTGTCCATAGTGTGTGTGCTGTAAAAGTACTGCACGTGCAAGGTCATCATTTTATTTTCAATCGATTCCTTTTTTTTTTTTTTTTTTATAACATGCAAGGTTATGAGAAGTAGTTGTACCTGTAAATCGTTCGTTTTACAGGAGGACTGCTGAAAATGCCATCAACCTGTTTACACTGTAACTTCACTTATTGTTGGGAGGGGTTGGTCTGTCATTATTGTTCATTATAAACTGGGTGGGTCGAGCCCTGAATGCTGATTGGCTGACAGCCGTGGTATATCAGACCGTGTACCACGGGTATACCGATACAGAATAGGACAAGGCTATTCTTCAATAGACATTTACATTTTTACATTTTAGTCATTTTAGCAGAACGCTCTTATCCAGAGCGACTTACAGTTAGTGAGTGCATACATTTTCATACCGGCCCCCCGTGGGAATCGAACCCACAACCCTGGCGTTGCAAGCGCCATGCTCTACCAACTGAGCTACAGAGGACTATAGCAGGGGTATTGTAGCCTGGTCTGTCATTGGAGCCTGTCTTGCCCAATGCATGATTACTACCTTAGGAGTTGGCCCAGACAGCACAAACAGATCTGGGAATCAGGCTACGGTGGTATTGAGCTACAGTGAGGGAAAAAAGTATTTGATCCCCTGCTGATTTTGTACGTTTGCCCACTGACAAATAAATGATCAGTCTATAATTTTAATGGCAGGTTTATTTGAACAGTGAGAGACAGAATAACAACAAAATAATTTTAAAAAACGCATGTCAAAAATGTTATAAATTGATTTGCATTTTAATGAAGGAAATAAGTATTTGACCCCCTCTCAATCAGAAAGATTTCTGGCTCCCAGGTGTCTTTTATACAGGTAACGAGCTGAGATTAGGAGCACACTCTTAAAGGGAGTGCTCCTAATCTCATCTTGTTACCTGTATAAAAGACACCTGTCCACAGAAGCAATCAATCAATCAGATTCCAAACTCTCCACCATGGCCAAGACCAAAGAGCTCTCCAAGGACGTCAGGGACAAGATTGTAGACCTACACAAGGCTGGAATGGGCTACAAGACCATCGCCAAGCAGCTTGGTGAGAAGGTGACAACAGTTGGTGCGATTATTTGCAAATGGAAGAAACACAAAATAACTGTCAATCTCCCTCGGCCTGGGGCTCCATGCAAGATCTCACCTCGTGGAGTTGCAATGATCATGAGAACGGTGAGGAATCACCCCAGAACTACACGGGAGGATCTTGTCAATGATCTCAAGGCAGCTGGGACCATAGTCACCAAGAAAACAATTGGTAACACACTACGCCGTGAAGGACTGAAATCCTGCAGCGCCTGCAAGGTCCCCCTGCTCAAGAAAGCACATATACATATACATGCCCGTCTGAAGTTTGCCAATGAACATCTGAATGATTCAGAGGAGAACTGGGTGAAAGTGTTGTGGTCAGATGAGACCAAAATGGAGCTCTTTGGCATCAACTCAACTCGCCGTGTTTGGAGGAGGAGGAATGCTGCCTATGACCCCAAGAACACTATCCCCACCACTTCACCGCATCAAAGGGACGATGGACGGGGCCATATACCGTCAAATCTTGGGTGAGAACCTCCTTCCCTCAGCCAGGGCATTGAAAATGGGTCGTGGATGGGTATTCCAATATGGCAATGACCCAAAACACACGGCCAAGGCAACAAAGGAGTGGCTCAAGAATAAGCACATTAAGGTCCTGGAGTGGCCTAGCCAGTCTCCAGACCTTAATCCCATAGAAAATCTGTGGCGGGAGCTGAAGGTTCGAGTTGCCAAACGTCAGCCTCGAAACCTTAATGACTTGGAGAAGATCTGCAAAGAGGAGTGGGACAAAATCCTTCCTGAGATGTGTGCAAACCTGGTGGCCAACTACAAGAAACGTCTGACCTCTGTGATTGCCAACAAGGGTATTGCCACCAAGTACTAAGTCATGTTTTGCAGAGGGGTCAAATACTTATTTACCTCATTAAAACGCAAATCAATTTATAACATTTTTGACATGCGTTTTTCTGGATTTTTTGTTGTTGTTATTCTGTCTCTCACTGTTCAAATAAACCTACCATTAAAATTATAGACTGATCATGTCTTTGTTAGTGGGCAAACGTACAAAATCAGCAGGGGATCAAATACTTTTTTTTCCTCACTGTACACCCTATTCCCTTCATAGTGCACTACATTTTGATCAGAGGCCCCATACGTCTCCGGTCAAACGTAGTGCACTAGAGGGCCCATACGTCTCCGGTCAAACGTAGTGCACTATGTAAGGAATAGGGTGTCATTTGGGACGCACACTATGTCTTGAAGCGGTCCTCTGCGATCTATTTATTGCCTTGGGGGCATCAAAGGTGTGAATATAATTTTACGGTAATGACGAAGATATTACTGCAACGTGTTCTTCCCCAAACAGCACCCTTTTTCCTTTATAGTACACTACTTTATAGTGGTCTGGTCAAAAGGAGTGGACTATAACGGTAGTAGGGTACCATTGGGGAGGCAGACCACGTATAATGAGAATGTATCAACTTGTATATTGCTGTACGAATGTATTGTGAGATGCTGAGAATACACTGTGATCGATGAAACTGGTGACAATGCTAATTATTGCTTTCCAAACGTGTTTTAATAACATTTACATTTATTACATGCAATGAGATGAAAATGAAAGTAAAATACGTTAAAAAGTCACATAGTGTACTCCAAAATGTCACCCTGTTCCCTAGTGCACTGTGGGCTCACAGGGCTCTGGTCAAAAGTAGTGCACTATGTATGGAATAGGGTGCCATTTGGGACTCGTTCAACTTGTTTGTTCACACTTCACTCTTGTGTTTATTACACAAGAAAGCACATCAGCAAGACTTGAATACCTGACTCAATTATCTCCAGTAAAATAAAGTGTGTGAATCTCGCACATTTGTGAATTACATTTTTGTACACTATTTGAACATTACATGTAATACAACACATCTGATAATAACCAATTATGGCATTGACAGAGTAGAACACATTTTATATACATTTACATAACGGCAGTAGAGTACAGTAGTACATTAGAGTACAGCAGAGTACTATAGTACAGTAGTACAGTGTAGTACAGTAGAGTACAGAAGTACAGTATAGTACACAGTAGTACACAGTAGAGTACAGTAGTACAGTGTAGTACAGTAGAGTACAGAAGTACAGTATAGTACACAGTAGTACACAGTAGAGTACAGTAGAGTACAGTAGTACAGTATAGTAGAGTACAGTAGTACAGTATAGTACAGCAGAGTACTATAGTACAGTAGTACAGTGTAGTACAGTAGAGTACAGAAGTACAGTATAGTACACAGTAGTACACAGTAGAGTACAGTAGTACAGTGTAGTACAGTAGAGTACAGAAGTACAGTATAGTACACAGTAGTACACAGTAGAGTACAGTAGAGTACAGTAGTACAGTATAGTACAGTAGAGTACAGTAGTACAGTATAGTACAGTAGTACAGTATAGTACACAGTAGTACACAGTAGAGTACAGTAGTACAGTATAGTACACAGTAGTACACAGTAGAGTACAGTAGTACAGTATAGTACACAGTAGTACAGTATAGTACAGTAGTACAGTATAGTACACAGTAGTACAGTATAGTACAGTAGTACAGCATAGTACACAGTAGTACAGTATAGTACAGTAGTACAGTATAGTACACAGTAGTACACAGTATAGTACAGTAGTACAGTATAGTACACAGTAGTACAGTATAGTACAGTAGTACAGCATAGTACACAGTAGTACAGTATAGTACAGTGTAGTACAGGAGGTCTGTGTAAAGGAGATGCTTGTCTACCAGTAACACTTCCTCCCTTCACCACCTCACAGTGAGACTACAACCCAGGAACTCTGTAAGCGGAAGTCTTGTCAAAGGTTCTCTTTCCATTTCCCCTGAAAAGTGGAACATCCGGTTGTTGAGGACTGGGCAGAGGCTACTGTCTCACATGTGACTGCCCTCCTTGACAACGTTTTAACCAGCTGCGCTGTCGAAAAGCTAGGGATTCAATAGACCTTTCAGGCTGAGGAGTGAGGTTATGAATCCGACTCCGTTACATTGCGACCACCCTTAGCGGAATTGTCAACAACCAGATGCATTCGGTTTTCAGTTATATACTTTTCAGCTGAAAACCGGATGTGGGGAACTCCGCTTATGCATCTTTCTACGGCTGTTACGTTAGGTTACATTGCGATCGACAGCTCCTGGAGTGATGGTTGGTGGCTGTCTTTCTGAATATCATCCTGGAACACATAAGAAGAAGAAAATAACATTATTTACGGTTAAATCAATAATATTTCCCTGTTACTACAGATGTAGGATCTTAATTTGATCACCCTGTTGCAGAAAATGTAAAACTTGTAGTGTATTTGAGGTTTAAAAAGGCTTCTAAAGTTTGTAATTTCCACTTTGAATTTTAAGACTACGAAAATGTCCATTAATTACAAGCCATTTACATTTACATTTACGTCATTTAGCAGACGCACTTATCCAGAGCGACTTACAAATTGGTGCATTCACCTTATAGCCAGTAGTACAACCACTTAACAATTATTATTATTATTATTATTATTATTTTTTTAAATTTACATTTCTTGTTGCTGCAGGATTATTTTCCTGCTGTAGCTAACTGGCTCAAATTAAAATCCTACATCTGTATGTAGCAGAGTTGAAAATACATTCTGTTTTATTTGTGAAGTTAGCCAAAATAGGTTTAAAACGTGTTGAGTTCATGTTTGACTTTGTATCATATAGTCAGTGGTGGAAAAAGTACTCAATTGTCATACTTGAGTAAAAGTAAAGATACCTTAATAGAAAATGACTCAAGTAAAAGTGAAAGTCAACCAGTAAAATACTACTTGAGTAAAAGTATCTGGTTTTAAATATACTTAAGTATCAGAAGTAAAAGTAAATGCTATAAATCCTTTTAAATTCCTTATATTAAGTAAACCAGATAGCACAATTTTACAGATAGCCAGGGTCACACTCCAACACTCAGACATCATTTACAGATAGCCAGGGTCACACTCCAACAGATGAACCATTTGTGTTTAGTGTATACGCCAGATAAGAGGCAGTAGGGATGACCACGTGTTCTCTTCAGAAGTGCGTGAATTCGAAAATGTCTTGTCCTCGCTGCTAAGCATTTGAAATGTGGCGATACTTTTGGGTGTCAGGGAAAATGTATGGGAGTAAAAAGTACATTATATTCTTGAGGAATGTAGTGAAGTAAAAATAAAAGTTGTAAAAAATATGAATAGTAAAGTACAGATATCCAAAAAACTACTTAAGTAGTACTTTCAAGTATTTTTACTTAAGTACTTTACACCACTGCATATCTCTCTTGCCCCTGGACCAGAGCTAGTGATCGTGATTGTTAGAGGGCAACTAAACGAACCCCTGGACCAGAGCTAGTGATCGTGATTGTTAGAGGGCAACTAAACGAACCCCTGGACCAGAGCTAGTGATCGTGATTGTTATAGGGCAACTAAACGAACCCCTGGACCAGAGCTAGTGATCATGATTGTTAGAGGGCAACTAAACGAACCCCTGGACCAGAGCTAGTGATCATGATTGTTAGAGGGCAACTAAACGAACCCCTGGACCAGAGCTAGTGATCGTGATTGTTAGAGGGCAACTAAACGAACCCCTGGACCAGAGCTAGTGATCGTGATTGTTAGAGGGCAACTAAACGAACCCCTGGACCAGAGCTAGTGATCGTGATTGTTAGAGGGCAACTAAACGAACCCCTGGACCAGAGCTAGTGATCGTGATTGTTATAGGGCAACTAAACGAACCCCTGGACCAGAGCTAGATTTATATCTACTTCTTCTTATTAAACTGGCAGACTTACCACAGGAAGTACTAAGGTTGTCAAAGGTGTGGTGGTTACGCTTGCCAGGAAGTTGGAGTTCAGGTATCCCTCTCCAAAATAAACATCTTCATCTTCGTCGTTGTCCACCCCGACACTGAAGGCCTCTCGTATCTTCTCAGGGATCAGACAGTCCAGCAGAACCACCAGGATTCCGATGACCAGACACAGAGCACCTGAAAAACAAGATGGATGCCTTTTTAACAAAATGTCCTTTAATATTGTCATTAGTGTGGATAACTTGGCTCTTTCTCAATTCATATTTCCTTGATTCCTAGAGTCCTTTCTCCTAACCTCCTTCTCAAAACACATATTAGGAGAATGTCCAAGGTCCTTCCCGTTTGAGATGGAGGCTGGGAGAGAGAGGACGCAAGGAATCGAGTTAAGTTGAATTGAGGAAAGAGCCTTGGGCTCTGGTAAACCATTTCCTTACCTGTGGCCAGTGCCAGCCAGAAAGAACCGCTGTACTCTGTCTGGAAGGCTCCGGAGGTGCCTATGGTGAACAGGCAGGTCGGCAGGTTCATGACGGTGGAGAAGGAGGCCATGGAGAAAAAGATGAAGGCGGCGGTGGCCACCATCATGTAGCCGGCGTACAGGATGACAGGCATGGAGAACAGCACGTTGGCTACCAACCAGCAGCAGAACGCTGTCCTGGGGAGTGGAGACGGCACTTGTTTTAAATTCGGGACGTGTACGTAGAGTCAGACGATTTTAAATGGTTCTGGAATGGCGCTTCACTAACCCCTAACTTTAACCCTTACCCTAACCTAACCCCACCAAACCTTACTCCTAACTTAAACCTTATCATAACTTTGATCTCTAATCCTATGCTTCACTTGGACCTTTGGATCTGGTGGTGGAATGTCCACTACAGACATTTTACATTTTAGTCATTTAGCAGACGCTCTTATCCAGAGTTAGTGAGTGCGTACATTATTTTTTAATTTTTCATACTGGCCCCCCGTGGGAATCGAACCCACAACCCTGGTGTTGCAAACGCCATGCTCTACCAACTGAGCTAGATCCCTGCCGGGCAATTCCCTCCCCTACCCTGGACGACGCTGGGCCAATTGTGCACCGCCCCATGAGTCTAGTATGTGTTTAGATCTAGTCAGCTTACCAGAGAGTGGCCGAGGCGTAGCGACCAGAGTATCTATACTGGTAGATGAGGCCACAGGGGTTGTTAAGGGTAAACTTCTCAGCGATATAGAGGATGGGGTTGGGTAGACCTCTCTCTAGGGCATCCTCGTACTCCTCATCGATGGTGTCTTTCCACTCAAACATCTCGTTGTAGTTGATGGTCTCGTTGAGTTGATTCACAGGATTCCCTGGAGGGATAGAGTGGACCATAGAGGACAACGGTGGTTATAATCCGTGCACTTGCAACACACAGGACGAGTTACGTGTCACATAGTCTCTGAAATCCCAGACCTAACGCTACAGCACTGGTAACCTGTCTGTCACGTATGTTTTCAAAACTTTAGCATGCGTCCATCTTTCATATTTATGGGGTACATTTCACACCTTAAGCATTGAATTCAAAATAAAAGAAATTGTAAACATGAAAACAAAAAAATATATATATATATACATAATATATTCTAAGAAAAGTGAAATAATGGATGTTGTGATCAAAAACAAAAAAATTGAATTTGTAAAATTGTAAACAAAATGAATATCAAAAGCAAAACAAAAAAATGACATCATTCTAATGTCATGCTTGAATAATATAGGACTAGAATGAGATGCAGAAGGCTTTCACTTCTCTTCACAAGGATTGAATGGTTATGGTTATGTATGTGAATAAATAACTGCTATAGCCAGCCACCATCGCGTGTTCGCTCTTCTTTCAAATTACCCGTGAGTTCTATTCTCAAGAGCTTGCGTCCCTCTTCGAATAGTCTATTGGTATAAGAAATGTAAAAAAATTATAATAATAATAATGTCCAGCAAGCTATTCCTTCTAGTCTAATATTTTCCTGCATGGGACTCCAAGAGAGGAGCCTTTTTTTTTTACAGAGACAGGTCCGTGCGTATTTCCGCAAGACACAGAGGCTGATGTGGAAAAATGATCACTATGAGTTATTCCAGAGTTTTTGTTGAATCAAGATAGACTTTATTACACAGAGTAACGGAAGCCGAGATGATCTGCAGAGCACCTTCCCTCTCTCTCTCCACTCCCCGTCTATATAGTCACATTCACATACCTCCTAGCTCAAATACCCTCCTCTCTTGGGTTCCCACACCATTATCTTCAGTTTCCCTCTCTCCACCTTCTCCGCCCACTTCCTCAGTCTATGATAGCGGCTACATTTGACTGTCATTCAGTTTAGAAACAATATTATTACAATCACGCCCTTGTCATGCAAAAAAACAATCATGTTCGGTTTTAAACTCTGTTCAACCCCGGCTCACCCTGGCTTGACCTGAAGATTGATTGTTGGTCATGACAGGTCCACACTCAATCTCTCAAATGTACCCAAACCCACTCCTATTCTTCCCCCCCGTCATGCTGTAATTACTCATGATTATTCTAAACTCTGTTCAACTCTGGCGCCGCTCTTTCTACTTTGTTTGAGGAGAGATGCATTAGGCAACAGTCTGGTTTCAGTCTCAGATAAGGTAGGACAGCCCTGGATTAGGTAAGAGCGAGCAATTCGGCCGTAGGTCAGATCCCCACTTCACACACACAGTAAAATGAACCAATTAAGTTCTTGCCTAGCAACAGCGAATTCTGACCATATGTTCGTGATTAACTCAGTTTTATCTCATAGTCCACTAAAAAAATTCCCATCAAGGCTAGGAGTTAGAATCTTATTATGCATAACCCATCATTCATCAGTTAAATATAAGACTAATACTACATTTAATGTATTTCCTGAAAGAGGATATATATATTTAGGCGTTTACAGTGCCTTCGGAAAGTATTCAGACCCCTTGACTTTTTCCACATTTTGTTACGTTACAGCCTTATTCTAAAATTGATTAAATTGTATTTTTTTCTCATCAATCTACACACAATACCCCATAATGATGAAGCAAAAACAGTTTTTTTTTGTGAATTTCTTGCAAATGTATGAAACATTTAAAACTGAAATATCACAATTACATAAGTATTCAGAACCTTACTCAGTACTTTGTTGAAGCACCTTTGGCAGCGATTACAGCCTCGAGTCTTCTTGGGTATGACGCTACAAGCTTGGCACACCTGTATTTGGGGAGTTTCTCCCATTCTTCTCTGCAGATCCTCTCAAGCTCTGTCAGGTTGGATGGGGAGCGTCGCTGCACAGCTATTTTCAGGTCTCTCCAGAGATGTTCAATCGGGTTCAAGTTGTTCATCTTTCCCTCGATCCTGACTAGTCTCCCAGTCCCTGCCGCAGAAAAACATCCCCACAGCATATTGCTGCCACCACCATGCTTCACCGTAGGGATGGTGCCAGGTTTCCTCCAGACGTGACACTTGGCATTCAGGCCAAAGAGTTCAATCTTGGTTTCATCAGACCAGAGAATCTTGTTTCTCATGGTCTGAGAGTCCTTTAGGTGCCTTTTGGCAAACTGCAAGCGGGCTGTCATGTGCCTTTTACTGAGGAGTGGCTTCCGTCTGGTCACTCTATCATAAAGGCCTGATTGGTGGAGCGCTTCAGAGATGGTTGTCCTTCTGGAAAGTTCTCCCATCTCCATAGAGGAACTCTGGAGCTCTGTCAGAGTGACCATCGGGTTCTTGGTCACCTCCCTGACCAAGGCCCTTCTCCCCCGATTGCTCAGTTTGGCCGGGCGGCCAGCTCCAAACTTCTTCCATTTAAGAATGATGGAGGCCATTGTGTTCTTGGGGATCTTCAATGCTGCAGACATTTTTTGGTACCCTTCCCCAGATCTGTGCCTTGACACAATCCTGTCTCGGAGCTCTACAGACCAATTCCTTCGACCTCATGGCTTGGTTTTTGCTCTGACATGCACTGTCAACTGTGGGACCTTATATAGACAGGTGTGTGCCTTTCCAAATCATGTCCAATCAATTGAATTTATCACAGGGGGACTCCAAACAAGTTGTAGAAACATCTCAAGGATGATCAATGGAAACAGGATGCACCTGAGCTCAATTTCGAGTCTCATAGCAAAGGGTCTGAATACTTATGTAAATAAGGTATTTCTGTTTTTTACTTTATAATACATTTTCAAAAATTTCTAAAAACCTGTTTTCGTTTTGTCATTATGGGGTATTGTGTGTAAATTGATGAGGAAATGTTTGTATTTAATCAATTTTAGAATAAGGCTGAAACGTAACAAAATGTGGAAAAAGTCAACGGGTCTGAATACTTTTCCGAATGCACTGTATGTCAATCTTGAACAGGATGATATATTTTGAATGCAATTTGAATGGAATTGATGGAGAGAGAGAGAGAAAGACTGCTCGAGCGTGCACTGATTTAAAGCAATGATATATGAGTGTTTTTAAAACTCTGCAGCTGCATTTTAAAACAAATAATCTTTACAATAAAAAAATAAGGTGACCCCTGAAATCCAGATGGAGATGTGTAAATTAGACGCGCATAAAAATAGGTTACCATGAGGAGATGAGAGGTGTACATACTCACTCACTCACTCACCTGTACTGTAGGCATACTATAGGCTGTGTGCATAATGCACGTGTGATTTAAGACAATCCACAGCTACAAAAGTATTCATCCCCCTTTTGGCGTTTTTTTTTCTATTTTGTTGCATTACAACCTGTAATTTAAATGGATTTTTATTTGGATTTCATGTAATGGTCGTACACAAAATAGTCCAAATTGGTGAAGTGAAATGAAAATAATAACTTGTTTCAAAGAATTTGAAAAAATAAATAACGGAAATGTGGTGCGTGCATATGTATTCACCCCCTTTGCTATGAAGCCCCTAAATAAGATCTGGTGCAACCAATTACCTTCAGAAGTCACATAATTAGTTAAATAAAGTCCACCTCTGTGCAATCTAAGTGTCACATGATCTGTCACATGATCTCAGTATATATACACCTGTTCTGAAAGGCCCCAGAGTCTGCAACACCACTAAGCGGCACCATGAAGACCAAGGAGCTCTCCAAACAGGTCAGGGACAAAGTTGTGGAGAAGTACAGATCAGGGTTGGGTTATAAAGAAATATCAGAAACTTTGAACATCCCACGGTGCACCATTAAATCCATTATAAAAAAATGGAAAGAATATGGCACCACAACAAACCTGCCAAGAGGGGGCCGCCCACCAAAACTCACGGACCAGGCAAGGAGGGCATTAATCAGAGAGGCAACAAAGAGACCAAAGATAACCCTGAAGGAGCTCCAAAGCTCCACAGCGGAGATTGGAGTATCTGTCCATAGGACCACTTTAAGCCGTACACTCCACAGAGGTGGGCATTACGGAAGAGTGACCAGAAAAAAGCCATTGCTTATAGAAAAAAATAAGCAAACACGTTTGGTGTTCGCCAAAAGCCATGTGGGAGACTCCCCAAACATATGGAAGAAGGTACTCTGGTCAGATGAGACTAAAATTGAGTTTTTTGGCCATCAAGGAAAACGCTATGTCTGGCGCTAACCCAACACCTCTCATCACCCCGAGAACACCATCCTCACAGTGAAGCATGGTGGTGGCAGCATCATGCTGTGGGGAAGTTTTTCATCGGCAGGGACTGGGAAACTGGTCAGAATTGAAGGAATGATAGATGGCGCTAAATACAGGGGAAATTCTTGAGGGAAAACTGTTTCAGTCTTCGGGAGATTTGAGACTGGGACGGAGGTTCACCTTCCAGCCGGACAATGACCCTAAGCATACTGCTAAAGCAACACTCAAGTGTTTTAAGGGGAAACATTTAAATGTCTTGGAATGGCCTAGTCAAAGCCCAGACCTCAATCCAATTGAGAATCTGTGGTATGACTTAAAGATTGCTGTACACCAGCGGAACCCATCCAACTTGAAGGAGCTGGAGCAGTTTTGCCTTGAAGAATGGGCAAATATCCCAGTGGCTAGATGTGCCAAGCTTATAGAGACATACCCCAAGAGACTTGCAGCTGTAATTGCTGCAAAAGGTGGCTCTACAAAGTATTGACTTTGGGGGCGTGAATAGTTATGCACGCTCAAGTTTTCTGTTTTTTTGTCTTATTTCTTGTTTGTTTCACAATAAAACATATTTTGCATCTTCAAAGTGGTAGGCATGTTGTGTAAATCAAATGAAACAAACCCCCCAAAAATCCATTTTAATTCCAGGTTGTAAGGCAACAAAATAGGAAAAATGCCAAGGGGGGTGAATACTTTCGCAAGCCACTGTATTTTCTAAAAGAAGATAATGATTCTCTGTGGCTAAATCTCTCTCTGGTGTAGTATTTTCAATGATTTTATTTATTTATGTATAGACAGGAGTGCCCTAATTATTTACGTCATTTAGCAGACGCTCTTATCCAGAGCGACATACAGTTAGTGAGTGCATACATTATTTTTTATACTGGCCCCCCGTGGGAATCGAACCCACAACCCTGGCGTTGCAAACGCCATGCTCTACCAACTGAGCTACATCCCTGGTCTATGAGTTTGTCATATTTATTTCAATGTACTTTTGGGTCAGCTTAGCTTCCCCTAGCCTATTGGACGCACCACCTATGGTTTACCAGGCTCACCTCAAAGTAATGTTGATGCAATACAGTCCCACATGCAATAATAACAAACCATGTTATGTTCTCATTCTGTGTCTGCTGGGCTCACCTTTTAACGTAATGTTAATACCATACAGTCCCACATGCAATAATAACAAACCATGTTATGTTCTCATTCTGTGTCTGCTGGGCTCACCTTTTAAAGTAATGTTAATACCATACAGTCCTACATGCAGTCCCACCTCAGCGTTCACCTCCTCACTGCTGAAGGACTTGTAGGTGGCGTTGGTTGTGGTTCTGGCCTCCGCCCAGTCACTGGTGAAATTCAGCGCTGAGATGAGATGAGATTGGGGAGTCAATAGTAAAAAAGGACGACAATACAATGCTTTTTTTGTTGTTGTTGTTGTTGGAACTACTTTATAGCTGTTGATTATCATTTTTTTGGGATGTGCGTTTACTGTGAAATAATCAACACCATTTCGACCAATCAGAAATCGAGTAGCCTATTCAACAATTCTTTACATTACATTACAGTCCCGTGGTATAAAATAAATATGAATATGTGGAGTTCAAAAGTCTAGTATAGTGTGCAAAAGACTGCCAGGCATTGCAAGTGTTGCAATAGATGTGATGTGAAATTGAAAGCAGCTAGGTACTTACCTACTATTACAACGCCTATGAATAAACTGATGACGATTCTGAACATCCAGAACAGTCTCTAGAATAGAGGGTTTGAGGACACAAGTCAGGTCACGAAACATATACCTATCTTCACTGACTGACAGACTGGCTATAATAAATTATTGTTTTATTAAGCCATTTGATCTTAATCACATTCCAAGGGGCAATAATCTGTTTAAGTCAATGTGTATCGACGTTGAGCAATTGTATTATCTAATCATGGGCTACAGTAGGTATATGGAGTCATATTAGTGCCAAAATAAATGGAATCTGAAGATTACATTTCTGTTGCCATTAATACTACTCCATTGTTAGGTTGCACCAGTTGGTTGTAAAGTGGTTATCCCACTGGCTATAAGGTGAATGCACCTATTTGTAAGTCGCTCTGGATAAGAGCGTCTGCTAAATGACGTAAATGTAAATGATGTAAATGTTATACGCACCGATTTGCCTCTGATACCTGGCAGAATGAGAAGGAAGCTGACCGCGAGGACCAGGAAGACCAGGATAATGGTGAGGAGGTGGGTGCTGAAGATAAAGGAGGTTCTTTGTAGGGGGTAGAATGGGTAAATGCCATCGTAGAAAGTCATCTTTCCTCAGGATCTCCGGGGCTGAGAGCAGACAGCGTGACAGAAGAGACCGTGTTAGTGTGGAGAGCAGGGTGTCTCAGTAACTGTCTAAAGATCCAGAGATAGGAGATACATTGGGCCATCAGTTCCTTACTGTACACCAGGGAATTGGAATGTTACATCATTTCCTACAAAGTTAAACTTAAGTAAAAAATTACTTAAAGATGCACTCCAGGGGCCGGCTGCACCAGTTGGGCGTAAAAGAAAATTGTTTTAAATGCTAGGTCGGCGTAGATACGTCCGACTTTGGGATCAGAGTTTACACCTGTTGCGCCAACCAAAAATAAGACTAGTCGTAGCTAAATCCGGCATAAGCAATGGGCTTTCATGAGATTTGATGCTTCATAAGGATGGTTGCTAGGCAGCGCAGCCTCCGTTACTAGGCTGTTACCATCCTCATGGCAGTTCTAAACTTTGCGAGGCATGTCCCATCACTTCACAAAGCCCACCACTAAGCATGCACGTTTTCATAACCACAACTGGATGGATCAATCAATAATTACTGTGGGAATGAATATCACTGAATGATGAACACATTGCCGTGTGTGGTCAACTATAATTTCAGCACCGTTATGATTAGGACAGCGTTATCGCGCTGCTTTGGGGCAAGCGTGGGGATTCGTCATGATAAATCAATCAATGTCCGATTTTTGTTTCACGGAATCTCCGTTTGGATATTTGGTTACAATTACGCTGGGAAAATGTTAGCCAAATTGAGGTGAGTGTTCATGATGATCATCTTTAGTCTAGTTTGCTCGTCTAACAGTGTTATCAGAACGTTTTGCTAGCATGTTAGCCTACGCTAGCCTATTATAACAGGTGGATTATTTAGCTCTTCACTCGCGTAGTAGCCTAAGCTATATTATCCTAACTAAAAGCCCTCGACTTGTCTGATAATCAATCAATGTGATTTTGTTTCACTAACTCTCCTTCTGTATATTTGGTTGCTTGATCTCTGACTGGGCAAATAAGTGGAGGTGGCAGCTCATTTATTAGTTTTCTAATATCTGATCAGACACATTTATAACGCTTTAATGTAGCATAAATCAAATGTATTTTTTTTTCGCTAATGACTCGCGCATAGGCACCTAGAAAAGCCAGCGGAGGTTGTGAAATATGAACAGGAGACTCACATCCTTTTGAAAATATAGATTGCTATTATTTTCTGCTGTGCATATCATGAAACAAGATAGTCCTCTGTAGCTCAATTGGTAGAGCATGGCGCTTGTAACGCCAGGGTAGTGGGTTCGATCCCCGGGACCACCCATACGTAAAAATGTATGCCCTCATGACTGTAAGTTGCTTTGGATAAAAGCGTCTGCTAAATTGCATTTTTCTTTTCTTTTTTCTTTACCATACGTAAATTTACTTTTACGACCAGCTGGTGCAACAGGTATAACTTTTAGGTCTTGCGTAAAGCACATTTTACGTCGGGATGTAGAGTTACGACCCACTTACGACCAGCTGGTGCAACCAGCCCCAGGATCTTAAGCACAACAAATTGAATTCGTAACATATCATACGAATATGATGACGTAGTACACAATTTGATGACCTAGTACACAAAAAACCAGGTACCACTTTCAAAACTACAGGCTGAAATTATACAAAAGTTTTAGAGTGTATCTTTAACCCAATGAGTCCCACCGCGACTCCGGCGCGATTTGAACTTCTAACCGCTTTTAAATATGGTGTGTTTTAGACTTCTGGGTTGTACCATTGGATCCGTCTATTTCTTCTGCGTCCGTTCGTACCAACCATCAGTCTGTATCATTAACGGGGGCTGAGCTAGAGCAGTGTTTGTGAGACAAGGGCTGGGTCTTTTTACAAATAGTTTGAGCTACAAACTATGAAAAGCTATCTATGAAAAGCTGAGACTTTCATGAACACACATTCAAACTTCACAAGAGTCGTTAGAAGTTAAGGGGTTCTTCTAATCCCAGGACATAGTGTCTATAATACTTTAATAAGCTCACATCCCTATATTGGACACAACTACCTCATCCCCATATTGTTATTTATTTTGCTCTTTTGCACCCCAGTATCTCTATTTGCACATCATCTCTTGCACATCTAGCATTCCAGTGTTAATACTAATTGTAATTATTTTGCACTATAGCCTATTTATTGCCTTACCTCCATAACTTGCTACATTTGCACACACTGTATATATATTTTCTGTTGTATTTTATGACCTTATGTTTTGTTTTACCCCATATGTAACTCTGTGTTGTTGTTTTTATCGCACTGATTTGCTTTATCTTGGCCAGGTCGCAGTTGTAAATGAGAACTTGTTCTCAACTGGCTTACCTGGTTAAATAAAGGTGAAATAAAAAACATATAAAAAAACATAGTTGCATTTCTGTACTTACAGCATTCATATAAATTCATTTTTATTAGGTTTTTGCTTCTTCTTTTTTTTTTGTCAATAAAACTCATGAATGCAACAGTTTGTGCCAAATTGTTTTGTGTTCTCCTTGAAGCCCTGGTTGCCCTGAAAAGAAGGCTTAATATTTGGTTTGGACATGCAGATAAATGAAAGTCAGATAAATGAAATGCCGATTTTTGCTGTGGTCTCAGGACTGTAAAGTAAAATGCATAATTATATCACTTAAAGAAAGTATTTATTTCTGAATCAAGACAAAATCATTTTTACTTGAACATACACTCATTTTATACAAAATGCTTTAAGAAACCACTCTGTTGAGACTAAGAGCACATTCAAACTAAACAGAGTACTGGTACAGTAAGGTTAATGGGTACAGTAAGTGAATACTTTTGCACTCAAGTTTACCCTCCCTGGCAAACTATGATGGACAAAGACCCATCTCAAATTAGACCATGCAGGTTTGTAAGCAACAAACATATAAAAAAAGCAAACAAACAAACAAAAATCGAACTCCATCTCCCTCTGAATCATCATAATACACCAGTATTCCTGTCATGCATAATAAGTATGCTTAAAATAATGCTCACCTGAAAGTGCAAAAAAAAAGTAGCCCACCAGATCAAGACAGAGGCAGAAAGATGAAAATAACGAATGCAACACACAAAGGCGAGAGACTTATTTTATACCCGGCACGTCTTTTGTGTATCTATAGGGGTTGCATTGATTGGTATTTCTTGGTGACAGAGGTGTGTGACCCGGTGACGACTATTCCTACAAGGAAACAAAATGTGTCAGTCTATTATGAGAACTTGGGTCATCGACACTGTTGGCTATTCTTCTCTGGATCACTATTTCGCTCACCTGGATTTTTCGTAACTCCGGGTCTTCAGTGCGCATGACATTTCATCCTCAAAATTGGGTATGTTTCCACCGTTTTTTATTAAATTAACATTTCCTGTTTAAAACCTTTATTTAGTGTTGTTTCGTCCATACAACGTGTACAACCTCTTTATATGTGTCAGTCACAATTTAATTATATAAGTTATTAAAGCACTGCTACTCACATTGATTTTACGCATTATAAAACGTATTAGGTTATATCGCATTTATTTAAACCCGATGTGTTTCTACTTTCCTCGCCCTTTCCACACCAGTAGGCTACACCTCGACAACTCTTGACCGTCTTGGAGTGGGTCTCTGCGTGCTGAGGTGAATCTCTCGCGTCAATGGATTTGCGTAAACTGATCTGGACACTGCTAGCAGTGTTTGCCTTTATCGTTCAACGTAAGTAGCTTTGTAACTAGTTACTTATTTCGTGTTATCTATGTACGACTAGTAAAACCCACGGACAATTCATAACCTTTGATAAATAACTATTATAAAAGTCCTGAGTTTGAGGATCACACTAAAATGACCGTCAATCTATACATTCACCTGTGCAGATTCTCAGTCCAAAGTCGCCTGGGAAGTCCAACGATATGACGGCTGGTATAACAACTTAGCCTATCACAGTCGAGGTGCTGTTGGTACGTTTCTCACAAAATCTTAACCTTTAACTTACAATATTACATATTTGAAATATGAACATTTAAAGATATAGTATGCGTTTATAGAAAGCCATATGTTGTATTGTTTGCTTGATGACGAGGAACTCCTCTGTCCCGCGTGCAGGTTCCTCCCTGGTGCGCCTCCTGCCCGCGCGCTACTCTGACGGTGTGCTCCAGCCGCTCCAGGAGCCTCAGCTCCCCAACCCGCGCAGGGTCAGCGATGTGACGGCCAGGGGGCCCTCGGGCCTGCCCTCTGCACACAACCGGACCGTACTCTCTGTGTTCTTCGGTAAGTTTACACTGGAATATCATCTGACTCTTTATTATTCATTCAGACTCATTCAGGAGATATTGTTTCAGTTTAAAACGAAGTCTATATTGTGAAATGAACCTCAGCAAATGCTTGGAGGTTGTCATAGCCACCCCCTAAATGAGTGACCAGTAAAGGAATCTTAGTAGCCTACAACCTCGTAACCTGGCAACCTCGTAACCTGGCAACCTCGTCAAAAGGATTGGAAAGGTATTAGAATAGATTGACAGTAGCAGGGACCCAAATTGCAGTATTTCTCCTCTGCCTGTCCAGGGTACCATGTAGTATTTGAGATCCTGGACTCCCGTCCTCCCGGCTGTCCTCCGGAGTTTATGCACATCCCTGTCCCAGAGGGAGACCCAGTCTTCGACCCCAACCGTACCGGCCGGGTCCTACTGCCGTTCCAGAGGGGGCCCTGGGAAAAACACTCCAGCCAGAGCCCCAATAACCCCCGCACACAGGTAATAACCCCCGCACACAGGTAATAACCCCCGCACACAGGTAATAACCCCCGCACACAGGTAATAACCCCCGCACACAGGTAATAACCCCCGCACACAGGTAATAACCCCCGCACACAGGTAATAACCCCCACACACAGGTAATAACCCTTGCACACAGGTAATAACCCCCGCACACTGGTAATAACCCCCGCACACAGGTAATAACCCTTGCACACAGGTAATAACCCTTGCACACAGGTAATAACCCTTGC